CACATTAAATCCAATATTATGCAATAGGAACCAAAGAAGTAACATTTTTTAGAAATATGAGGTTAAAATGAATGTATACTGCATATTATATTTATTTCTAACTTGTAAAAATGTTATAGAAATACAAAAATTTTCCAAATTATTCAAATTTGAAATATTATTTCTGAGATTTTTAATTAGTCGAAATTTGGGAATTTTAGAAATTGGGAAATGCACAAGATAAAACACAGATTCCCGTGTATATGCTAAGGACATTCTGGAGATAACCTGAATACTGAAAGCCATCGGATAACCTTAGAAGGTACCTAGTATATTCTAAAATAACGAGTGTAACGAAGATAACAATTTGAAAAAGATTTTAGCTCCATATGGTATCCATCATCTTGAATTTTCAAAAGTCACATCCGTTTTATCGCAGGGACTTTAGAAACATTTTTAGAACGGTTTTCAAAAATATAGCCAACTTTGTAAAAAGAATATCATGCCAGTGAAGGGGTAATGATATCTAAGTATTTATATTGCATTTATGTCATCGGGACAACTGAAGAATGAGTTAGAGAAGGATAAACAATATACCTATCATTTCTAACTCATTCATCCCGTTTACGATTGCGATTGCGTTTACGATTACGACGCTATTCTGCTCAAGCCTTAATATTTGCATATATTTCGAGGTTAGGATCCCCACATACCGCATTTGTTTCCCGTACCCGACTCAGGCCTCAAAGCCTTTCTCCAATTGGATCTAAAGCCCTAAGCACAACTAAGTCGGTTGCGGTAAATGTAACTTTTACATATATTTTGAGGTTAGAAGCCCCCTATACCGCACCCGACTAGCGCAACCGACTCAGTTGTGCTTAGGGCTTAAAACTATGTGTTCCGAATGCGTCGCGCTGATTTTAACATTGGTGACCATAGCAACTAACGCAGCGCATTTGCGAAACATGCTCTTGGGATCCTATTGGAGAAAGGCCTTTAAGAGAATAATATAGAAAGTTTAATTCTTTAAACTTAGGGTGTTGTCCCATGTGGGTAGAATAGTGAAATAGTGGAACTGATTAGACCAATCAGAAAAAGTTTTCAAAATACAATTATCTGATTGGTCAAATCTGTTCCACTATTTTACTATTCTACCAGCTGGGACTAGGGCCTTAGAGTGCGATCCCATGTAAGTAGAAAGCCTAAAACCAAAATCAGAATTCAATGAGTGCAAGGAGATAGCCAGATATCACAAAACATTGTTTTCCAATTGTAAGTTCTATAGATGTCAGAGGGTATGAATTGCTCAAGATATATTTGTCTATTGTGGACTCAACCTTATGAAGCATTTACAACGTCGACCTATGCTATGACCTTCGTCCCACCTCTGGGGTCCTATTCTCGAAATCAATCGAATATTGTTCGTATGCGAGCAAATTCGGTGGGTAAGTTTCGTGCACGAAGCAAGAACCGTATTCTCGAGGACCTTTCGAAACTTCTTTCGACGACCGTTCGTAGACGAATAGGTTGTACAATGTTGCCGTCGTTTATTTCTAGTGAATTTCCAGTGTCATTTTTTTGAACCAATGAAATTACTTCGACATGATATGACTATGGCAACACATGTGCTTGATGAACGCTGTTTTTTGTGCTTTGTTTTGTGTACATAGGTAAGTTTAATAATTTAATACAAATGAAAGTAAGGAATTATTTCTTTAAAATCAATGATGAAAGTGTAAGTGATAAAATTATTTATCACTCTATTCATTTAAAATACAACAACAATAAATTAGCTCATAATTCTATTATTTCAATATAACTCCAAAATTACTTAACCAATAATCTGTTATTTTTAACAGAAATGTTGCAGTAAAATTTTACTTAACAATTTTCTAAAAAATATGAAATTGAGAACATAACCTTCAGTTTGTTTTTTATTTGTTTATGTTGTAAAAGAATCATTACAATAATTTTTTAAGTGTACAAATGTATTATTATTTTTCTGAATGATATTTCTTGTGACTATAATTACTTATTTTGACAGGAAAGGACATTTTCCGGTTAAAGAAAGTGTTATGAGAAAATGTTTTGAAAGCTGATCGGCAACTTAATCCTATAACGTGAATTACAACTGCTGTGTATTCTGTCGTAAAATCACACAAGTAAGTAAATAATAAGCAATGAAGTTTAATAATTGTTATAATATAAGGAAATCTTTACTTTATTATTTTAAATTACTTTTTCTTTTCAACATTGCATACAGAAATGTTTTTTTATTTTTACACACTTCATTGCTTTTTTCGTATAATAGGTGTTTATCACTATGGCGGATGCAGAAAAGAGAAAAAGATGTGGAAACATATCGCAAGAACAAAAAGATGTACTAATCTCATTTGTAGCTTCAAATGAAAAGTTAAGAAACAAAAAATTCGATGCATCTTTCACTTATCAGCACTCTCAAAATCTGTGGAAAGAAATTACGAAAGAATTAAATGCGATACCGAATGGCTCTCCGAAAACTTGGGACAAATGGCGAAAAACTTGGCAAGATTTAAGATGTAATGTGAAGTCAAAAGTTGCTAAAGAGAAAAAACATGCTACTGGTACGGGGGGTGGTAATAAACTGCAGCTATTAAACAATAGCGACACAGCTGTCTTAAATTTATTGTCACAAGTTACGGTCGAAGGAGATCCACAAGTCGAGGAGGGAGATGTTTCTTTTTCATTCGGACACAGCGTTGAGTATTTGGAAGATGATGCAGATTTTGATGAAAGTTTAGGGCCGACCATTCAAAATCAAGCAATAATTAGAAATGATTCGAATGAACTGGCGGTAGTAGAACCTCCTACAGTAGGAAATGCCCGTCTTTCAGCAACTAACTCAGTTGGTTCGCGAGAAACTCCTCCGAAAAGTTCAACTAGCAATCGAACACGCATTTACAAGAAAGATGAAAGATTTGCCGAAACAAAAAATTTCACATCAAAAATAGCAAATACCGGGGAACAAGATTTAAATTGAAGAAGCGATTATTACACAGCAAAGTTGAAGTTATTAGAACGACAAGTCGCTGCGTATGAGACAATTGCAAATATTTGCTCAAATGCCTTCGTAATATTAGAGAAATTTGCTACTGCATGGCTGCCTTCTAATATGGAAGTACAACACGATGACGAAGACTTAATATTTAAGGACATTGAGGGCTTCGATTAGTAAGTTATGAATTATTTATAGGTAGGTAAAATTCCAAATATATATCATCAAATTTTGGTGTGCGTTAATTGAATAGAATTTCATTAAACTAAAAAAGTATGTTGAGTATATTATAGTTTCATTTATGACATACTTTGAACCAAATAGAAATTATAATACATATTATATCTTAATATTAACATTAAACCAAATACTTCATATTGTTTTGTATTGTTTTGTTATAAAGATTACTCTAATTCTAAAAAATGTTAGTATACTTGATATTGATGTAGGGTATGTGCCTCAGAAGTGTTAATTAGTAAAATAATTTTTTTTTTAAATATTAATTACAATGAAAGTTTACGTTGAAGTACATGTGATATGTGATTGAAAATGTATGTTGCCGAAATTTGTAAAGAACATAACATTTACAACAAGAAAACGAGCTGTGAATTCGTTACGATTGTTTCAAAACGTGATGTGTATTCGTTAAGTTGTTTAAGTTATATTAGTTAAAAAGACTACATTATTATAAATTAAAGATTGAGCTGAAGAACGTAACGTTAATTGTTTAACGGTTACAAAAACCAATTTATTAAAGTTTGTTCAAAATTTAATCATTACCAATCGAAAGAGCATAAAAAAATGTGTCAGAATCCATGAGTTTGATTCCAAATTTGATGTCGGAAAGATATGAAAAATCAAAATATTGAAGAAGTTATGGCTTCTCAAACGTTAACGATCGCGTTATCGGGTGCTTATTAAAGTTTGTTCAAAATTTAATCATTACCAATCGAAAGAGCATAAAAAAATGTGTCAGAATCCATGAGTTTTATTCCAAATATGATGTCGGAAAGATATGAAAAATCAAAATTAATTTAACCTTTCTTAAATGTTAACGATCGCGTTATCGGGCGCTTATTAAAATTTGTTAATTTTTTATCATTACCAATCGAAAGAGCATAAAAAAATGTGTAAGAATCCACTTTAATAAATTGGTTTTTGTAACCGTTAAACAATTAACGTTACGTTGTTCAGCTCAATAATTAAAGTTTGCCTTTTCAGAAGGTATTAAATAAGAAACTTGGAAATCTAACTACAATTATGTACAACATATATTTATGTTATTAATTACAATTAAATTATAATCAAATTTTTGTGCTTTTAACAAAGACTATATTTTGTTGATATGACTTCAGAAATTTATAATAAAAAATAATGAGCTGTATATTGTAACCTAGTTTATTACACAAGTTGTCACCTATTTTTTTTTTATAAACTTAATGTAAAAATATTAATTAAAGTGACGTTCAATCAACCTTCTTCGAAAAGCACGACCTCTTGCAAGGTCAATATTTGTGTGTAATCGTCTGGCATCGGCGTATATTGCTCTCAATTCGTGATCTGTTGGAGGATACATTCCCAAATCTCCAATTTCTACATCTTCACCTTCTAAAGGTGGTATGTTATGATGAATGCACATGTTGTGAAGTACTGTACAGGTATTAATAATTCTTGAAGCCACGGTTGGAGAGTAATGCAGTACTCTATGTTTCAATAAACATCGAAATCGAGTTTTTAACACTCCGTTACATTGTTCTATAATAGAGCGGATAGTTTTAAATCTATTGTTAAATCTACTTTCAGGAGTATTTGGTTCAACATGGTTGATTGGGGTCAAAAACCAAGGTCTTAATGAGTAACCAGAATCACCTAATGGAATGGAAAAGAAATATAATTTATGTTACATAAAATATTATACGAAACACATACCTATTACAAAGTAAGTATGCCCCTGTTCATGCAACTGCTGCAAAAGTGGTAAAACATTGCTATTTTGCCATATAAAAGAGTCATGGGTACTTCCTGGATATCGGGCATTTACGTGCAATATTCTCATGTTGCTATCGCAGATCTAAATTAACAAAAATTATTATTAGATAATATAAGTTATGTAAATATTTCGTAATTATAATTATGTTCAATTCATTTTACCAATTGAGTATTGATCGAATGGTAATTTTTCCTGTTGACGTAATCATTTTCGGGATATAGAGCATTAGCAATATTTGGTGGATAAATAGCCACGTGTGTTCCATCCACACATCCCACAATTCCTGGGAACCCGTATTTTTCATAAAACCTGAAACATAAAAATTACTCCAAATTTTATATACATTTTTTTTTTGCAAAATGTCACTCGAAATTTTTTATTATTCTTATAACAATCTTACCCTCCTCGAACAGTGTTTAATTCATCGAAATTTCGCGGAAAGTGAATCCATTCCTGGAAAATATCTCTTGTATTGAAAAATTGCGTAACATCGTTTATGCATCTGCTGGCAGAGGGTTGAGAAATATTTGAAAAAATGCTTTTCCCTATATCCATTTGATAACTGCCCGAAGCAAAGAACCGCAATGCTGTTAAAACCTATTTAAAATTGTAAAATCCCAAAATTTTTGCTTTATATTCATATCTTATATTATGGAAAAGTATTACTTCATTAATTACTGGATTACTAATTTATGTACAGATTATGCAATTGTAATAAACATACAATTTTTTACAATCAACATTGACTTATAATGAAAGGTCCTTTAATATTACTTTTGTAGAAACATCAATTGCTGAAACTCTTCTTTGTGGTACAAAATTTTCCATTCCATCAATTATATTGTCCACCATTTCTTTATTAAGACGATAAATTTGAACAAATTGATGATCGGGTAATTCAAAAGGATCCAATGGACGACGAAATTCTTGTCGTGCGAATTCTGCATCTCGTTCAACATCCCTAAGAAAATCCGCAACAAGAACATTGGCAAATGGCCGTATTCCTAAATTCATCCTGTATGATATAAGAAATATTTATTAATAGCATCATCATTACTATTAATATTATTAATATTACTATTATTATTATTATTCTCATTGTTATTATTAATTATTATTATTATTACTATTATTATTAATATTATTATTATAATAACTATTATTATAATTATTATTACTGTTATTATTATTGAAAATCTGTAATTAATTTCACATACAATACGCATAAACGAAAGAAAAATTAATAAATGTAAATATCATTTCATTTATTGATAAAGATAATTAATGAAAAATTTATTTCAAATTTTTAATTTTAATAACTTTTTAATTATTACTTCACATTCCTTTTACCTTTATTTAAGTTTTTTGTGGTTATGTAGGTTTAAATTTTTTTTTATCTACTATCGGATCAAATATAAACGTCCACGTCAAACTTACCTTATATTTAGAAATTAAATGAAATTTAACTTATAATTATTTACACTTCTTACACTTATAACAATTCGAAACTTTGAATCACTTATAATAAGTGTACGTAATATTATTAAAGAATACTACTGCGCATGAGCAGTACCAAACTTCGAACACGAAACTGTTGCTTCGAGTGGTTAAGACCACTCGTTGCATTTCAATCGAATCGTTTCGTCTACGAACGCCTAGTGAACAGTTCGAGAATACAGTTTTCGACAAAGTCCTTCGAAAGTCTTCGATTCGTGCACGGAACTAATTTCGAGAATAGCACCCCTGATCTACTTCTCAAATTTCATGCTTCTACCCAACGCTGCTCATTCTGACAGTGATTATATATATATATATGTAGTCAATTTAAAATTTTGTTTATTTATGAACTGCTGTCAAAAAGATTGAAATTATATACAAGCGTATAAAAAAATATTAATTTCACATTAAAACTTTACAAAAGTACTGATTGCACTTGACAAATAATAAATAATAATTCGAACAATAATTGATGATATACAAAAATTAAAGCGCAGTACACTAATAATAGAAGTAAGTTAATAAACAAAAAATTACATTAAATTCTATTACTGCATTTTTTGACACACTCTCAAAATTAAGCAATTACTTGCATGTTATTCTGAAAAATTAATGAAATACTATCTCCATGTAAAATTCGAGGTTCATAGGAATAATAAGAATATTATTATAATTCCATAATTGTATTTTGTTTCATAGGTTAAATTATTAGTATTGCTTCAGATTATTGAAGGAACTTTGTAAATAGAATTAAAAAAAAATTATTTCTTTTTCTTAAAATTATTTCCGATTGTTTCACTATTGTTATGTAGACCTTCAATTCATAAAATTTTTAAAGATGGTTTAAACAAATTTTCCTCTTCGTATACAAATGTTCGTACGTATCTACATTCGTGCGTGAATATCTTTTTGTGAACCCGATAACCCTATAAGGTTTTAACTGATTTCAGAAGAAAAAAAATAAATAAAAATATATTTATCATATAATTATTTCAAAATATACACAAGAATTTCCAAAAATCTTTACAAGTTTTTTTACTTTCAACAAAAAATTCATTTTTTGAAGTTTTTATGTTGATAAGAAAAAAAAATCTACTCTCTTAATCTGAATCAGTGAAATTCTTACTGATTGAAACAGTATTTCACATTTTCACTGAAAAATCAGTTATTATTATGATTTTTACTCGTTGTCACTGGTAAAATCAGTAAAACATTACGACTAAAGTAAATCAGTAACATGAGTATAACAAATTTAACCAGTAGATTTTTTCACTGATTGAAACAGTGCAGAATAAATCACGCGCAGTATTCACCTTCCTTGAGGATAGCAATCCTATAACATAACCTAGAAAACAAAATACAGTTTTTAATGCAAAGCAAAATATAATTAAAATTAATTTTAAACAATTTTAAAATACCTAATTATACATCTTTTTGGAAAAATTATTTAAGTCCAAATCTTTCATCAAATTAAAATTATTTAACATTTTGATGTTTGCCTTCAGAAACAAAAATTTACCAATTTTTATCCAATTTGTATAAACAACAGATTATTTTAATCAGTGAAACCGTTTCTACACTTGCAATAATTTATTTATTAAATTTAACTTTTTAACAATATTAAAATCATTATAAAATATACAATATAGCTTATATATAAGCTATATTGTATATAAGTTTTGTATATATTGTATATAAGCTATATTGTTTATAATAAATTTAAATAAAAATTTATTTTTTGTTTGAATTGAAAATAAAAATCAAAATGTTTAATTTTATTAAATTGAAACGAAAACAAACTTTAAAAACAAGAAAAAATTAGCTTTAAAATATTAAATTATTATTTAACAATAAATATTAATTCAATTTTTTTACGAAACGTGTACAGTAATATAGATCTTTTAAAATTGTTTGAAATTAATTTTTATTAAATTTTTGTTTACGTTAAGAACGATTTTTAGTTTATAGATTATGTTTGGTTAAGATTACCACTTTTAAAAACTAATATTTATAATATTTAATAAGTAAATTAAGTCTGTAGTCTACTAACTTATTTAGTTAAATTTAAAAATCTAATAGGCCAGAATAAATAAACTTGTAACTTCTTTAAAAATTTTGTCCTTTCAAAATATTTTTGCCTTATAAAGAAGCAGTTTGGCAGTCTATATAAATGTAAATTGCTTAGTATCAACAATTTGCAAGAGACTTTTGTAGCCTCCATTGGTCGAGCGCGTCTAAGCGCAGTTCCCAATGGTTGTAGGCTCCATGTGAAATGGAAAAACTAAATGGTCCAGGTTTCGAATCCTGTGAATGAGCCCCTCAGTCATAATTAGCAAATGATGTCCGAAATATGTCAAAAATAACTTTTTTTATTTAATCTACATTGTTTTTATTGTACCAGAATAAAATATAAACTTTCCAGAATTTTATATATCAATTTTAAATGTAATATTTAATTATCAATTACTTTTTTCAACTGATTGAAACAGCAGTTTGCTCCTTTACTGAATAAATCATTAGTTCGCCTGTACTGAATGAATCAGTAACTTTCCACTGAATGCCAGTGACTCGGTTTTGGTTTGTTCAATCAGTGAAATTTCACTGGAAACCAGTGAGATTCCACTGATTCAGATTAAGAGAGCTTATCTTAAAGTTTAAATTGTTCTAGAAATTGAAAGAATTATTCACAAATAAAGCAGAAAAATGAACTTTTTTATTAAATTTTTTTATTTGGAATTATGTTACTATAGAATAAATTTTAATTCTTTACATAAAAATAATCAAAAATCCTATTATTTAATACCTAAGTAAAAATTCATTTTTACAATCTTTGTTGTTTGAAATTCAATAATAATTAATAATTTAAGTAGGTAACTATTTAGAATTTAAGTAAAAAAATACTGATCGTTATTAATTGAATTTTTGAAACAAAAATGTAATTTAACTGGGTTAATTGATATTTACAGCTATGAACGTCGACGCAATTCAGGGTGAGCCACAGCCATATAATATTTCAGATGATGATGATGATAATGATAACGAAAGTGACGATTCTGAATATGAGAACGTGGAGGATAACAATGATGATCCTGAAAAAGAAATGATTGGAGAGTATCTTCTGTATTTAAGGAGTTCTACACGCGCTACCAATGATGATGTAGTGAACATTTTAGTCAAAATGCAAAACATAGTTCAATGGTATGTTGATCGCTGCCTAAATGAAGTGGAAACTAAGCTTCAAGAAAGTCGTGGAATTCGTTTAAGAAATTATATCGACGTTGATGAGATAAGTCGTAGTGTTAATTGCAGTGCAGGACTGAACACCATTCACAAACAGGACACATATTTTAAGAAAAAATTCAATGTTTTAGAACCTAAAAGAATTGAATTGGGTGAACGATTTGTTCCTTATGGTACAGCTACAGTAGATGGAAATCAGCCAATAAGAATTAAAAAAGATGAATTTTTTCACATCCCAATTACGGAAGTTCTTTCCAAGTGGTTGCAAAACGGTTCATATGGTAATGTTACACGCATACCAAGAAGACGTGAAGATGGAATAATAGAAAGCTACATGGATGGAGCACATATGCAAGAACATCCGTATAGAAACCAGAGACCAGATTGTAAATTAATTAAGCTATATTATGATGAAGTTGATATGTGTGATGCCGTCGGCAGCAAATCATCTTCTATAAATAAACTAGGACTTTTTTACTGGGTAGACGAAGATATTATTCCTGAGCATAAATCACAATTGAAGTTCATGAATTTGACTGGAATTGTATCAAATCCTCATTTAAAAAGATACGGATTGAATACAATTTTAAGTCACATTGTGAACGACGTTAAGAAATTGGAAAATGGAATTCTACTTCCGAATGGTCAGACAATTTATGGAACAGTTTCAGCTATATTTGGTGACAATCTTGCTGTATATCAATTATGCGGTTGCAGAGAATCATTCATTGCACGTCACCCTTGTCGAATATGTAAGGCAACATTGGATCAAGTAAGAGTAATGTGTGGAGAAGATCAGATCCTGCTTCGCTTACCAGAAGAACATGATCGTCAAGTCGACGAAATTGAAAATGCTATTGGACGCAGAAAAGATGAACTGAGAACAGAGTATGGCATTAATAGAAGAACCGTTTTGAATGAAATACAAGGATTTCATTCTTTACTATCAACTCCACCAGATTTAGTACATGATGATTGGTTGGGAATTTGACATTTTGATTATGGATATTCAGAGAAATCAGCAAAACCAACCCTCATTACTCAAAAGCATGTAATAGATATGAATGAAGGATTCAAGCAGACAGCAGCACAAATGGCACAATTGGTCACAATGTTGCCATTAATTGTATCGGATAAAGTTCCTGAAGGATTGCCAGCATTAGAAAATTATTTAAAAATGATTGAATATATTCTCATATCACATGCAGATAAAATAGATCACTCAATTTTAGGTTATTTGGATAGTTGCATCTCAGAATATTTAGAAACGTTTAAAG